GTTTTACTCAGAGCTGGTCTATAGCTCTAGCAAATGTTAGTGTGCTCCCACATATCAATGTTGTGTATCCTACACTAAGTATCTGGCTATCTGCACTATTACTGGTTATTTTCTGTTTTATTACATATACTTACCACCAACTGAAACCTGGCCGAATCCAAGCCAGGATCTTCCAAAGAATTGGGCTTAATACCTACAGTATTCAGCGCAACCTGGTTTTTGTATAATGTGTGTAGTATAGCATCATTGTGTGTATACTATCTGAATGAGTGTGTGTATAGCAATGTGTCTGTACTGTGTCTGAGTGTGTGCCTGCTTAGTAGAGTGTATATACTTCGCCTTGGCTTATGTATAGCAGAGTGTGCATACTGTGAATGTGTCAGTATGTATATACTGTGAGTATTTGTTTGTCATTGTGTATACTGTGTCCCAGTTTGTGTATATCATTGTGTGTGTGTGTGTGTGTATAGCAATATGTGTACCTTTCATGTATAACAGAGGTGTATATCCTGGCTACATTTTTCCCACCCCTCTCCCAGAGGCTTGTCAGAGAAAAATACATTTGTTTGCATTGCCAGAATTTAAGCAATGTCAGCACTGGTCTGACTGCCTATAATACCGGCTGTAAACTTAAAGTAGCTGCCAGGTGGCATCCCTATGTGCTTTATAACTAGCTTCTAATAAGGTACCTTAAAGTGGACACTGTTACAAATGATATAATTGGAGGGGCTATTTATCTTTCAGTATAACTAGGGCTTACAAAAAAATGAGATCAAATTAGACCCAATAATTTTCAGGCCCCCACTCGGGGGTTCAGTCCCTGCCAGCTCCCCCAGCAACTCCTTGGTAAGTACTTTTTACTTGCTGTCCTATAAGAAAGTTTCATTCTAACTCAGAGTTATCCTCATGTTACACTACAAATTAAGATAAACATTATATGCCTCTCAAAATATGGCTGCACACAAAATATGACTTCTATTCCTACCCAGAAACCAACAGAAATGTATTTCATTTTCTCCAAGTGGAATATTGTGAGCTGGCTTTTTTTTTGTAAGTTCAATATGCAGCGGTTGAAATTAACACATCACAATGCAAGAAAATGCGTAACATAACAACACCGGGCAATGGAAGCGAGTGCGAATTCCTCCAGGTTTTACCAAGTAAATTGCTTTGCCAATTCCACTCCTGCATTTTGTTCTCTAGAAAATAATCACACTTTATCCTCCTAGGAAATATACTGGAAAATCATCGGCCCTGTACATGTAAATTGCCATTCCAGCTGCCTCCGTAAGCAAGGGCTACAGTACGCTTCTGGAATAATGACGTTGTGTACTTAAAGGGGGATATTTAAAAAAATTTAATTTCCGTTGTCTTTTGCTTCTACGGCCGTCGCTTGTCCCGCAAGATTTCTGAAGTTCACAGAGATATATTATTGAAGCTTTAATACAATTTCATCATCTGCTATAATACAAAATGTATTTGGGAACTAAAGGGCCAATAGACTATAGAAGTACATTAACATTTAAATTAAAATAAAAGAAGCCTGTTTTAACAAGGCAAACAGCTCCTGGTTTTTACCTGCAGTCGGAGATAGACAGCAGTAATGTGTGCTTATGAATTAGAATTCCTTATTGAGTGTACACTGTGGTTTAGGTGAAATCTAGGGATATTTTTAAAGAAAAAAAATAAAATATAAATTGAACGTGCAGCTGTGTTAAAGGGAAGCTAATCTATAGGAGCATGTCAAATATTACAATACGTTGTCAGATGGCATTCTCATTACAGTAACTTGCATGTCGTGGTTCAATATGATTGACTGGTTAGCCGAGTACCTACTGTAACATGTTCAATACAGTTACTAGGGGGTTTGCTGTTCGAAGCCTGTGATGTGAATTATTGGGCACAATCCGCACAATGTTCTTCCACCTTTGCATTTATCTATAAGCTTTGAATATAAACAGAGCAAGCCATTGTTCTGTGTCTAGGAACACACAAGAAAAAGGAAAATACAGACAAACAGCAGGAGAGAAATAAGACAAGAAGGAAAAAAACTTGAATACATCAGTACCAACAGGGAAGGTCTCTTCAAATGCCTTGTCTTCAGGTTCTTACAGAACGTTGAAAGGTTCTCAGTATTTTGATGTCTGTCAACAGACCACTCGAGCATCCTGCACCATGGACATTGACCTTTCATGCCTTCTTGAACTGCTCACTTTTTTTTTGAAACAGTATGTCATTGGA